TTCTTCTTCTTCTTCTTTCTTCTTCTTCTTCTTCTTCTTCTTCTTCTTCTTCTCTTCTTCTTCTTCTTCTCTTCTCTTCTTCTCTTCTTCTTCTTCTTCTCTCTTCTTTCTCTCTTTCTTCTTCTTCTTCTTCTCTTCTTCTTCTTCTTCTTTCTTCTTCTTCTCTTTCTTCTTCTTCTTTCTTCTTCTCTTCTTCTCTCTTCTTCTCTCTTCTTCTTCTTTCTCTTTCTTCTTCTTCTTCTTCTCTTTTCTTCTCTTCTTCTTCCTTCTTCTTCTTCTTCTTCCCTTTCTTCTTCTTCTCTTCTTCTTCTTCTTCTTCTTCTTCTTCTTCTTCTTCTTCTTCTTCTTCTCTTCTTCTTCTTCTCTTCTTCTTCTTTCTTCTCTCTTCTTCTTCTTTCTTCTCTTCTTCTCTTCTCTTCTTCTTCTTTTCTCTTCTCTTCTTTCTCTTCTTCTTCTTCTTCTTCTTCTTCTTTCTTCTTCTTCTTCTTTCTTCTTCTTCTTCTTCTTCTTCTTCTTTCTTCTTCTTCTTCTTTCTTCTTCTTCTTCTTCTCTCTTCTTCTTCTCTTCTTCTTCTTCTTCTTCTTTCTTCTCTTCTTCTTCTTCTCTCTTCTTCTCTCTCTTCTTCTTCTCTTCTTCTTCTTCTTTTCTTCTTCTTCTTCTTCTTCTTCTTTCTCTTTCTTCTTCTTCTCTTCTTCTTCTTCTTCTTCTTCTTCTTCTCTCTTCTTCTTCTCTTCTTCTTCTCTCTTTCTTTCTCTCTCTTCTTCTTCTTTCTTTCTTCTCTTTCTCTCCTTCTTCTTCTCTCTTCTTCTTCTCTTCTTCTTCTTCTTCTTCTCTCTTTTCTTCTTCTTCTTCTCTCTCTTCTTCTTTCTTCTTCTTCTTCTTCTTCTCTTCTTCTTTCTTCTTCTTCTTCTTCTTCTCTTTTCTTCTTCTTCTCCTCTTCTTCTTCTTCTTCTCTTCTTCTTTCTTCTTTCTTCTTCTCTTCCTTCTTCTCTCTCTCTTCTTCTCTTCTTCTTCTTCTTCTTCTTTCTTTCTTCTTCTTCTCTCTCTTCTCTCTTCTCTTCTCTCTTCTTCTTCTTCTTCTTCTTCTTCTTCTTCTTCTTCTTCTTCTTCTTCTTCTTCTCTTCTTCTTCTTCTTCTTCTTCTTCTCTTCTTCTCTTCTTCTTCTTCTTCTTCTTCTTCTTTCTTTTCTTCTTCTTCTTCTTTTCTTCTTCTTCTTCTTCTTCTTTCTTCTTCTTCTCTTCTTCTTCTTCTTCTCTTCTTCTTCTTCTTCTTCTTTCTTTCTTCTCTTCTTCTTCTCTTCTTCTCTTCTTCTTTCTCTTCTTCTTCTCTTCTTTCTTCTTCTTCTTCCTTCTCTCTCTTCTTTCTTCTTCTTCTTCTCCTTCTTCTTCTCTTCTCTTCTTCTTTCTTCTTCTTCTCTTCTTCTTCTTCTTCTTCTTCTTCTTCTCTTCTTCTTTCTTTCTTCTTCTCTCTCTTCTCTCTCCTTCTTCTTCTTCTTCTCTTCTTTCTTTCTTCTTTCTTCTTCTTTCTCTTCTTCTCTTCTTTCTTCTCTCTTCTCTTCTTCTTCTTCTTTTCTTCTTCTCTCTTTCTTTCTTTTCTTTCTCCTTCTTCTTCTTCTTCTTTCTTTCTCTCTCTTCTTCTTCTTCTTCTCTTCTTCTTTCTCTCTTCTCTTCTTCTTCTTCTCTCCTTTCTCTTCTTTCTTCTTCTTCTTCTTCTTTCTCTTCTTCTTCTTCTTTCTTCTTCTTTCTCTCTCTTCTTCTTTCTCTCTCTTCTTCTCTTCTCCTTCTCTCTCCTTCTTCTTCTCTTCTTCTTCTTCTTCTCTTCTTCTTCTTCTCTTTTCTTCTTCTCTTCTTCTTCTTCTTTCCTTCCTTCTTTCTTCTTCTCTCTTCTTCTCTTCTTCTTCTTCTTCTTCTTCTTCTTCTTCTTTCCTTCTCTTCTCTCTTCTCTTCTCTTCTCTTCTTCTTCTTCTTCTCTTCTTCTTCTTCTCTTCTTCTTCTTCTTTCTTCTTCTTTCTTCTTCTTCTTCTTCTTTCCTCTTCTTCTTTCTTTCTTCTCTCTTCTTCTTTCTTCTCTTCTTTCTTTCTTCTCTCCTCTTCTTTTCTTCTTCTTTCTTCTTCTTTCTCTTCTTCTTCTTCCTTTTCTTTCTCTTCTTCTTTCTTCTTCTTCTTCTTCTTTTCTCTTCCTCTCTCTTTTTCTTTTCTTCTTTCTTCTTCTTTTCTTCTTCTTTCTCTTCTTTCTTTTCTTCTTCTCTCTTCTTCTTCTTTCTTCTTCTTCTTCTCTTTTCTTCTTCTTCTTCTTCTTCTCTTCTTCTTCTTTTCTTCTCTTTTCTCTTTCTTTTCTTTCTTCTTTTTTCTTCTTCTTCTTCTTTCTTTCTCTTCTTCTTCTCTTTTTCTTCTCTTCTCTCTTCTCTTCTCTTCTTCTTCTTCTCTCTTCTTCTTCTTCTCTTCTTCTTTTCTTTTCTTCTTTCTTCTTCTTCTTTTCTTCTTCTTCTTTTCTCTCTTTTC